GAATCGTATTACACCTGTATTTGCATTCTTTGAATTCTTTTGCCAGCTACTCATTGGTGGATGGTCATTAGAATTTATACGTGCATATGTAGTACACTGTGCGAAGTGGCATGTTGACGTATCTGAATAAGCTAGGAAATTAAGGAAATCGGAAAGGGACAGCGAGATGGAGATATACCAATGAGAAAAGAGACAATAGAGACTGGGAAATCGATTAGGAGATGATATACAGAATCTACCATAGAGGGAGATAGACGATACAGTATCTGCCCAGAGACTGTGATAAGGATAGGAGTCGAAGGATATGAGCATAATGCGGACCCTGGGAGAAAAAGGATAAGTTGAATAAAGAAAGTAGCAAAGGAGAAGGAAGAAAGCCGTTCGAGAAGTATTGTAATTAATTACTAATTACACACTGTACTATGTACCAAAGTCCTAGTTAAAGATCGAACGATCGAAGAAATAAACGAGCACTGTATGTATTTTATACAGTGTGTATATACATCGTGAATGAGCACCCGGTGCAAGAGAAAGGAAGAGAAAAAGGAAAAGTTTCTCGAAAATCGCTTTTCCTTCGTTTACTCTTGGATGTAAAGAGGTTCGTGGAGTCTGGATGAAGCTTTTTATCGAGGACAAACATAAGGAAATGTCTTTAGGATTGGCCAATGGAATTCTTTTACTCTCTTGGTCGATTAGGCGAAATCCGTGTGGGGGGGGGGGGGCAAAAAAGGGAAAATAAAAAAAATAAGGGAAAGTTAGAAAGAAAAAGCTAATGGAATCCACTGATCCATTGTATACGTGTCTCTGTCCATCTCGTGTATTTCGCTTGAGAGTTTCTCAACTGTGGGCATCGAAAAATTCACAAACTTGTGCACCAATATTGAGTATCGCTTATCCCGAGAGAACTTAGCTGAAGTAAGCTTTCACGGGAGCACCTTTTTTTTTTTAATTACAAAAATATCGATCTCGTTCGATTGGTCGCAGAAAGCATGTGTAAGTCAACCAGAATCGATACCTAATTATGTCAACGGGGAAAACAAAAATATAAATCCGATTACTGTGTGCCCCTATAAAATGAATTAGAGTCGATAACGCGAGTATTACTTTTGTCCCCACGCAGAAAAGTAATAAATGAATTTTCTTACGATACACAAATAAAATCCATCGATTCCAGTACTTTTTATATATACAAGAAAAATATATGTATCAATCGTAATAAAAAAAAAAAATCAATCCCCTAGCACAGAGCGTTTTGACGTTATCAAAAGGGACGCCTACCGCTTTAATAAAAGGGTGCTACGGGGTGGATCATAACCACCCAAGGGGGGTTGAAAGTTATTTCAGTAATCGTCTGAACTGAAACCGCGTGAACGGGACTTAACCAAAGAATCGATTAACGACGATGCGGGGATCGCGAAGAGACGAGACGAAAGTGAAGAGACGTTACGAGGAAGGAAGAAGACGAAGTACGAAGAGAGGTCGAAGGGGGATATCAGGGTCAGGGGTTGCGGCGGTGATATCGGTTCCCAGTGCAGTCCTGCAGACGTGAAGTTATCAATTCGGAAAACGACTTCTGCGAGACGTCGTTATCTTAATGGGGCGTCGATACCGATACGCTTGTCGTCTTAGAGGGACCAAAGAAAAAGAAAAAAAAAAAGAAAAAAAAAAGTCTGAGAAAAAAAAATGAAACCAGTTCGACGCCTATCCAGATCCTACCTAACAGTATCACGTTTAACAAAGATCTGTCTAGATCTTCTCTACCGGCACTTTCAGACGTTACAGCATCAGCCGGGAGGCTGGAAACGAGGACTTGATAGGGACTCACCCCGGCAAGATGGTTTCTTCATTGCGGGGGTACGGGGGTTGAGGGGGGTGACGAAGGGGGGAAGGGTGCTTTCGAAGCAGCTGTTCAGCGTCGCGACGCAAACTTCCGACGCTTTTATCATCCACTTGTATATTTTTCACGCTCTTTCGTACTTTTCTCAAAAAGCTTATAACGCGCGTACCCGCGCAGTTACGTCACGAGACAGAATCGCAGCCTTGAAGACAGAGAAATTGACAGCCTCGGGGTATTCCGGCGGTACGTTCGCCACTTGTGATTCCATCTACGTAGTTTTCTTCCCTCGAGCTAATTACACGGGTTTCCTCTCTTTTCCTTTTCCATTACGTTTTACTACATTCCTTTGTTTACGTACGTGACGTCCTAATGTTACAGGGGTTAATAGACACGCGCTGGAAAAATTGCACGGGGGTTGATTACAGTCGTGTATGGATTAAAGGAAATTTTTTTTTTTTTTTTTTTGGAAAATGAAAAACACGATTTAAAAAAAATATTTAAATCAAAAAAGAGACAAGGATACGGAAATAAAGGATTGGGATACGTCTGCTGAACGTAAGAGACAGATAGGGCTACTTACGTAAAGCAACGTAATCCGCCTTAAGAACTAAAGCCCGATCTAACAAAATACCGTTTCGGAATACATACGTAAACGTCGCCGTGGACGCCGACGCCCATCGCGGATCGTGTGAACCCGGCAGTATACCGGCGCTACAACTCGAACAACCGCGACTTTAGAAACATCCCGCAATTGTCGACTTTCCTGAAGTTTTCGTGTAGAAATAGTACTGGATGCCCGCCTCTTCCGTGCCCGAAACTTTACGTGCATAAAGAGAGTCAGTGCCGGGAAGTAACCTGACCCGGACTTTAACAAACCCAACCTGATCCAGAGCAAAGCAATCGACGTGTAGCCAGAAAGGGGAAGTGCGGTGGGATAGTCAACGAAAGATAGGGATGGGGTAGGGAGGATGTAGGGAAAAAGATTTTTTTTTGGGGGGAAAAAAAAATTAAAAAATTTTCACAATCTCCGTGCGTTAAAATATTTACGCGAATTTAAATGATCTTTCGTGCGCGAATCTTCGGGCTCGTCTGTCCTTTTATCTTTCTTCTTATTCCTCTTTACGATGGGAATTAACATAAAATTTCATGACTGCCGCTGGCAGCTGTCGCCTCGCTGATACGCGGTAAGAATAATTCGTTCCGTAAGGACGACTTTTCTAGATAAAAAAGTAATTGCGAAGATTCATCGAGTCTCGGCGACGTATGATAAATCGCGTAATCCTTAAACTTTCTATTCATTGTCTCAGAATGAGCGTAACTCTATTTTTTATATTCTCTACATTTAAAAAAAAAATTTTGTTAATCGTCCCTATCGTCCCTTTATCAATATTAAAATTTACAAAATAAACTAGCAATTCATCCCGATCCCGATTTCACCACCCTATCTTTCAACCCCTATTGTACAATCTAATAATTATTACGAATAAAAATGTGTATTTAATATAAAACACATGGTACTCACCAAAGATAACAACAACAAAAATTCAAAGTATACATCCACGTTCAGTTTATACTCACATAACGTAATCCTTCCACGCACAGTGTTCAGTGACCAAACTCAAGTCTCCCTTACAGTCCACTATCTACCCTACATTAAATGACCATATGTGCACACACGCCTTGTCAATCGTGCATACACAGCAAACAAAGCCCGCCCGATGACAATGACTAACAGTAACTGAAACCACGTTGGCCAAGTCCAGCCGTAAAGTACAATACAAGATATCGAGGAGATAAGAATTGAAGAGAGTCACTCTTATCAGTAAAAGTATCGTTATCCAGCATACGATAAAAAAGCAACAGTTACTCATAGCGCGTAAAGTGCCCCAGGAACTGGCACAGTCATATCAAATAAAAAAAAAAAGACCACACTGCCTATGTACGTAATTCATAAAACCAAATAAAATATAATCCATTAAAAAAAAACGGAAAAAAAAAAAAATTCAAAAATCAAATAAAGCCATTGTTTAACGATCCGAAGTGTCAAAAAGGCTTGACGAAAATTGAGAAAAGCGTAAAGAAGAATATCGAACGAATGTGAATTCACGAGTTAAGCCGAAAATCAACGAGCGTGAAAATACGAGAAAGAGGGCGAAAGGTAATTTTGTCTGGCGTAACTAGTTAACTCGGGAAATAAACTTAAGGCCCCCCTCACTCGCCTGGGCAAGTATATACGATTTGCTTTTGAGGGGGTCGCTATGCCCGGACGCAGTGATGAACTGTGCGAACATTTGAGAATACGGTAGTTTCCTTACCGTCTCTATAAACAGGATCACCAGACGTACAGCAGTACGCGACACGTACTGCCGTCAGAGATACGATTTCGGCCTAGCCAGAACTCACTTTCCAAGTATAAGTAGCTTCAACTTTGGTCCGTGATTGCGTGTTAGCCGAACCGTTAGTAATGTACAGGGTATTTCAAGAAAGGAGGGACCTGAAATATTCTTCGGGTCTATATATCTATATATACACATCCATGAGACATATAGACACTTCTCACCCCATTTTCATTGTCTCGGCATTACTCTCTGTTCCACTACGGTCAACCCCTCCAATCCTTAACGTGCCTTCTTTCTCTCTCTGTCCGTACCCCTCTGCCAGCCTCTACCTCTCTCGCTCTCACTCCCTGTATCTCTGTATACACCGACATAACTCAATTAAGGCTCTCTCGAAACGAGAACGGATCGCTCGCTCGTGCTTGGCCAATGACGCTATAGGAACTTCCTATGCATGCTGCGTATACCTGTACGGGATCTGGTCCTTTAGAGGAATGGTTTCGATCTTTTTAAGTATTTTTAGGTTAGTTCATTAGATTTATTTTTTTCAAGGAACCACTCCAGCCTTTTTCTTTGTATAGCTTTGTAGTGTCCTCTGAAGAAAGGGACTCCTTGAGTTTCTCTTTTTTTTTTCTTTTTTTTCCACTAAAATCTCTTCCTCCTGGTAAAATTGTCTACTTTATTATTACGGTATACCGTAATATACGTAATAAGGGTGCACTCACAATGGATCATTGTGTCTGTTTGCGTTGTACGTTTTAGAGCGTTAAAATTAGTAATAAATATAATTAGTCAATAAACGACATAAAGATAAGAATAAAACTTACGATTAAGCCGGCCTATATTATTTCCATGAGTCCGAAAACATTTCCTGTTGGTCCAGACGTCAGTGTCGCCAGGAGTGACTCAGTCCCGCCATTACAGCTTCGGGTCCCACGACGAAAACTAGCGCTGGTAGCCTTAAGTGAATTCTAACGATGCCAAAGGGTGGAACCTACGACAGAGTAAAATGATTCTTGTTAATAATTGACGTAATGGGGAACGTGCGGTTTACTCGAAATAACAAAAAATTTCATGTTCCGCGTGACACTCCCGATTCCTGCAACCCAATTACTAATAACGATCTTATACTTGAAAGTTGTGTCAAGTGACTCGAAGAGCCGGCGGCAGTGGTACCCCATCGAAAGCACTTGTCGTTCCGCAGAGTGTTAGAACTGTAATTGAATTGTGTGCCTCTCTCGCTCGCAGTCTCTCCTCCTCTCCACCCTATCCGTATAACGAGTGCGAGAGAGACGGACGAGCGTGCACTTGGCTCTGTCGTATAATTTCGAAATATTTTCAAGTGGCAATATTTTTTTAACAGTCGCAAACGGCTGTCTGGTCACTCGCAGCTGAAATTTCGAAAATTTATTAGGGACCCTCTTCGAATTTCATACACGTCGCCCATATGGGAGACGACCTGGATACGCTCGATGGAATTTTTATCGCAATCCAGATGGCGACACTGTCGACCTTATATCTACTGTGGCATGTCATTTTCTGTACGTTCACGTAAACCGTGAAACGGTTTGAAACTTTTCTGCATGGTTGCCAGATTGGACCTGGATCCTCTGGGTTTTTTAAATATACATTGGGAGTGGTGACACACGTGTGTCTGAGAATGAAGGTGAAGCTAGGAGGTAATTAATTTTAATGATTAATTGTACGCAATTAAATCTGATACGTATTTTTTTTATTGTTTGGGGTTAATCGTTAATTCGGTGAATATTGATCTGTAGCTGTCTGCTGGGTTCGAGTAATGAGATAAAAGAAAAAAAGAGAAAACTTGAAAAGTTCGTGCTGTTCAATTCGAGGGATATTATTATTTGTCAAAATTCCATGTATTCGGGGAAACACGAAGATATTGTACAAAGTGAATTTTTTGTTGCAATTTGAAAACAAAAGAACATTTTTATAAGCTTATCCATATTGATATAAAGTGGTCAATACAGCTCAGCCACGTGCGCGGTCTTCCCAAAGGATAAGTAAACTCTAAAGATGGGATAGAAAACTGGCTTGCCGAAGCTTAGAAGGGAAGCTGCACAATCCGGTTGCACTTTTCAATCTCTAAGGTCAGCTAAAGCCAGCAGTATGGTATGTCTGTAGAATGTCTTGGGAAAAGACGTTTAGAGATGCAGCGACGGTACCGGAGGACACGGGAAGTGACGTAACGGCAAGTGCATTCTATTTGATGCAACATATAGGTATAGTGAGTTAATCAAAAGTCAGCATTGGAATATCGACAGTTAAACTTAAGATTTGCTCAGCTGTTGACAGGTTAATGACGTTAACATAGATTAATGCAAATACGCGTGAGATGGTCGAGGGATGCTGCGTAACGGATAGGTCCAGTCCCGGTGATTCGGTATCGATAATCATTTGCTGTACTGCATTAAGGTTGAGTATCGTATTGGGTTAACCTAGTAAATATGTAAACGCTATAACGATGCGTTTCCATGACGCGACGAGGGCATTGAGTGCATTGCTTCTACGTAGAATGCAGCTGTAATTATCAGAACCGAGTATAGGACTGTGTTTGGTAGCTTTGATAGGAGTTAATGGACGATAGTTTCGACGAAGACACCCAAGATAAGGAAACAGACAAGGAAGGCATGAGTAAACAGTCCATAAAAATTATTTGGGAAAATCAAATTCGGGTAAAGATAGTGAAACAAGATAAGGAATGAAAATAGAGAAAAAGTAAAGAGAATTTAAAAAAAAAGTTCAAAATTCTAAAAAAAAAAATCGCTACTCATTAAAACAAAACTTATCAAATTCGCGTGCGATTTGTAAACCCGACTGTATATTTATGTACGTAGGAGCTTCCTCATTAGGGCTGCCCAGATTGTTTGCATTAAATTAAGCTTCTGCAGTCAATTTGCTTGAACTTTGAATTCTACAGGAGGGTCCGAATTCATTATTCGACCTCTGGATTTGGATTACGTATTTCAGAAAATGTGGTCGGAGGTCAGGGGGTTACGTTAAATAAAGCTTGGACAACTTTTGAAATTTGTTTCTTAAAGATGGAGGTGAAAATAAAGTAAGGCAAATCTGCGAGAACTTTTAAGAATGCGATCGCGCAAAAAAATACATTCGTATCCTGTCTCTATGTAACTGCGTATTTACTACAGCGCATAAAGGGCTTACATATGTACTCATACGTATAGCTAGTAACACACGTCGTCGGTTTACTCGCTGTCGTACGATGAGAACATAAAAAGGGAGCAACGCAAAACCCGGAAGTTATGTCTACCATAATCTACACCCCGACCACGCGAAAAGCACGAAACCGAAAATCCTACCAGGCCAAATTTTCGTTATCATGGAAATACGTTTTTAGCACTGTTTTTGCAACTTTTACGGCAACTTCTTATCTCCTTGTATCTTTATAGGCGTAGCTGTAGGCACGTGAGCTTTTGGAAAATTGTATGCTAATACAAGGGGGTCCTTGTGTATCTCGAATATGTAAATAGTTATTATCGCAAGTTGGTATATGATAATTAATTATCCATAAACGACACGTCATATAATAATATGAATAAAGTTCAAAAATTTTTTCATTGATATAAAGCATTTTCAAAAATTATTTTGCCTACATTTTTTGTATCGTCGAACTGTCAATTTCATACGTCATATGCGAAATTGACGAATTTTCATTTTCGACCCGGATATCGTGTCGTGTTAAATTGAACCACGATACTACTGTACCGCGTGGGGGCATGCATGTGAATGTATACACGTATACACAGTATCCAATGCGCGACATTTCAACCAATGGAAATGGAAAGCGCGGTTGATACATAACCTTACCCAACATGTACCTACTGACTCCTATCTTCTATTGGAATTTTCGAAGATTGAGTTTCCACGGTAGCGATTTTCTCTTGTCGCTTCGACGAGCCCGTGCTTCGCCACTGAGAAAGAACGACGCTGCCCGAGATTCACGATATGATTTATGTCCCATATAAAATTAACGAACCCGAGCGATAATCAGAGTTTCCGCAGGAAACTAAAAATGTGAAAGAAATATAAGAAAAAATGTGAACTTTGCCTCTCCCAATCAAAGATACAGGTAACAGGTAACAATAAATAGGACAGGTATAGTTATAGAACAAATTGAAAGGCTCGCGGGAATTTTTGGGTTTAAAAAAAAAAAATTAAATTTCAGTCTCCTAACTTTCTTTTATTATTTTTCATATCCCACACCCGCGTTCAAAAATCCTACTTTATGCATATATCTATATGTACATAAGTATACTTCTACTTTTTGTGACTGCCTGTACATATAGATTGCCCACTATTTACGTTTACGGGCAAAGTTTAAATTTCTGCAAGACGCGACCGCCAGCTTATTGGTTTTGGGTAAAACGGTTACGCTAACAGATTAAAATCATTAAGTTAGACTTCAGGGTAAACCAATTTAAGCTGGCGTGTAATGAAGCTTACCCATTCCAAAATTGGTAAATTGTTCCACTGCGCGTTTCCCGAAGTGCACAGGGATACCAATTCCTGGTCCACCGCGGTCGTATCGTTCCCGCGGGCACTGTACAATAAGTGCCAAGGATAAGCATTTACTCCAAGTTGTACTTTGAAAAATAAAAACGAAGTTCCGAGAGTCCATTATGAAAAAAAAAAAACAATATATCCACGTAGCAGTTGTTACCCGGATGCTGAGGATCGAAGATGAAACGTGGATATTCAACGTGAGTTCCAAGAGAGTTGCAATTCGAAATTGCGAATACCTTGGGGGATTACTCGGCAGGGTAGAATATCTGATAAATCATCTTCCTGATACAAAGCAACATTTACGATGATAAAAACACCCCGTGACAATGGAGTATAATGTAAAAATAATATAAAAAAATAAAATAAAATTTAACGTCACAGGAACCTTCGGTTTCACGAACGAGAAAAGAGATCTCATTCGGAAGACCGATTCAATTGGAAGGACTCTGTGAGAATTTTATAGGTTAAATTTTTTTTCCACCTTCAGAAGAATTTCTTCTTATCAAAGACCCTTGATAACAATTTTAAGTCGCCAATTTATCGCGCTGCGACAACTTTATTACGCGCTTGCGCGAGGCAGCATCTCGATTAGCACAACGTAAACGGTACTCGAAGCAATCAGCATCCTCGCCAATTTATTTCCCTATTTTTTTTATTTCGCATTCGTAGACGTACGTCTTAGCGAATTTGCAAAAAAAAAAAAAAACAGTAATTTCATCGCTGGATAACGTTTCGTTTAATTTGCTACATTACAAATCCCATTGCGTTATTTTCTAACCATTTCTATATGGTAGTCACTTTTTTACACACTCACAAGGTGTCTTATTCTTACGTTGGAACACATGGGAATTACACACACGTGGATTTACGTCCTGACTAGTAATACCTAATTTCGCAAGAGCATTATTAAGGTGGGATAAAGAAACGCCCTCATATAATGCCTGCGGAACAATTCCAAAACCCCCGCAAATCCGTCCACCAGGAACGTCTTACCTCAATTTCGCCCCTGGACACACATTGTACTTTCGTAAATCTGAAAATAATCGGCTGGAATCGACCAGCTAGATAATCAACGGCGGTAAGTTCGATTGCGCAATCGCAATGCGAAAAACATTCGCCAATAAAAAAAAAAAAAAAAAAAAAAAAAAAAAAAAAAAAAAAAAAAAAAAAAAAAAGTTCCCTAAAACCATTAGCGCCCCGGGCCAGGTCTAACAAGGTACGTCCCTGATATTTATTCCCCGCCGCTTTCCATTTCATTGGCAATTTTTTCGTTATTACTCGCACATGGCCCTTGCAAACGTCTTGCGAAATTCCGAATGTAGAGCTTAAATCATTCCCGTCTACGTATAGAAGCAGCTGAGGCGAATGCGCACTGATAAAATCGCACTGGAATATCAACGTGAATTCCCCATCCATTCAGCCGGCGCAAAGAAGCATTTCGGCAATTCG